AAATGAGGATAATTTCCGCAAAACTCAAAAGTCCGATTCAATATTTCAGCTCAACATTTTGCAAATGATTACGCGATCAATCGTCTTGTTCATATTATACTCACGATATTAACGATACATGTAAAACAATCACTTCATTCTTTTACAATAATGAATTAGGTCATCATTTCCTTCGCATGTGAATGAACCATTTTTGGGACAAACATTGTAATGGAAACAGATGGGCATCTTAATCCACTGCCTGCTTGACGACGTGTCTCGTATCAATCCTCTCTTATCAATTTTTATTAGTTCATTTCATCTTGAATTTTTCATGTCAATCACAAAAAAAGTGGTATGAGTTCTAGGAAATGGGGAGAAATTAGGGTGAGGCAAAGAAAGCTTTGGTCCTGAATCTTGATCATGATTCGCTTTTTGATCACATGCAGAATCTTTCCAATCAACAGGCTGGAGTTTAGTCTCAGGCAATTATTGATTCAACATTTCCAATCGGAATTATCACACCCCATGACTGAATCAGAAATCGCATCGACCACTTAACAAATACAAACGTTACTTTTTTTCCTATCTTTCAGTGATCTCGTATTTCGTATCAGTGAGCATTTCAGAACTCAACTGCCCAATTACAAAACGCCTTCATCGGTTCTTACTCTGCTAAGGCCGAAATGTTCTACGAAGCAGCCTCATTCGTGACATTCCTCCTGTGTGCCACCACACTCATCGCCCAGCTAACATTTTTACCGTTGATATTCCGTCGAAGCAGTCATATACGATCGAACATTCAAAATCATGTCGATAAGTTCATGGTGTGTTAATATCTCATCACTGACTTCTTGAAGCATTCATTCACTGCTCAAAGTTCTGCCATTTCTAGTTCCCACCTGGAAGTTTCAGTATTCGAGTTATTTTAACAATGACCATTCTGATCAATAATGGACTGAGATATCACAATGGTGTGTTTTTCCACCGTTCTAGACTCTGGAGTTCCCAAGGTGTTTGCGTCCAACTGTAAGCTGTAGAAGCCGAGAAACTAATTGCAATATCTAATTTTAGTTGTTTCAGAGTCTTTAAAACCATCTTCGAAACTATTTTTTATAGCTTCTCTCTGATCGTGCCCATGTTCAACTCACTCTGATGCGTCGTGAATCTCAACGATTCAAACGATCAGTTCTGCCACTTTGCGAGCCATATGTGCCCGGCCCACCCGGTCCAGCTGGTATGCTTTTCTTGGTGAAACTTTCGTGAAAGCTCATTAGACTATGAAGGAAATTGTGTGGAATTCCTTCAAAAGTAGTTTGTGCGAAACTGAGGAAAAGCGAAAAAAATGTGAAAATTGAAGGTGATGATGGAGAGGATGGCGAGCCAGGTGATGATGGTCCCGAAGGGCGTCGCGGTTTAGATGAACGTGATATCGTCGCACAACTCAGTCAAAAATGCATCGTCTGTCCGCAGGGTCGAGTTGGACCGGTTGGAGCGCCCGGAAATCGTGGTATTCGAGGACTGAAAGGCGATAAGGGATATCCTGGAATACCAGGTTTCGACGGACGGGATGGTACGTTGTATTCAACTTTTATAAAAACAACTGAATACGTTTAAATCTGCCATTTCGGAGCAACTGATAGTTTCTAAATTGAGTGTATCGTGAAGAAACGGTGATGAATTTCTATTGATTATCGTAATGTTATGGTGTACGTCTCCATTTACAATTAGGAAATTTTTCGTTAATCAACGTCATAGGGGCGATTCTAATGTTTCACAAGCAATATGACATTCCGATGATGGGAGGAATCAATTCCGCATGATGGCCTATATGTAGGGTG